GGCAGCGAGCGGAGAGCAGGAAGCGGTGTTCTGTCCCCAGGGACAGGGACAGCGCCAGCGCCGGGGGCGGGTGCAAGTCCCCAGCGCTACAGTGATCAGCGTCTGGTTCCCTGAGCGCAGAGGGGCTGTCTGCGTCCCCGGTGGTAGCGCTAGTGTGGCCTTAGGGGCTCCTGCTGGGTTTCCGACTCTTCCCGCCGTCGGGCAAAGCAGGAATTTTGGCCATTAGACAAACAAACAAAAAAACCCACAAAATGAAACCCAAACCGAAAGTGCAGGGAGCTACCAGTCTCTCACAAATGATTACCTCAACAGGTTTCCAGTTCCCAAGATGATGGCAGTGTAACTTACAAAATATTTCCGTTGAAGAAGCTGTTTTGAAAACATAAATATGTAGAGAAGTACTGGCTTCTGGATGGCATCTGTGTTCTCATATGACCTTATGAGAGGTAGGCATGTGTATTATGAATGAATGTGTATATACACATGGTTAGCCAAAACCTTATCTTTTCAGAATTTAAGGTGTTTTCTGAGGCACTGTGAAAACTCAGTGTGCCTCAGTGATCTGTGGAGCTGGGATTTCAGGATGTACGCAGCCGTATGTTGCTAATTTTTGCATTGGGGCTTTTTTGGCATATGACTTGTAGAAAATCCGTATTACTCCTTTCCATCCCCCCCCCCCCCCCCCCAATATCAGCAAAATGCTTCTCATTTGAAGCAAGTATTTGCAGGTTCCATTGGGGGTTTTTTACTTAAAAGTTTGTCTTACAACATTTGCTGTACCCAGTTGTTTTCCAGTGTTCAAGTTTTTACCCAAAGATGAAATTCTAGTTCTCATTGCCTTAGCTCTGGCAACACTACACTCACAGGTACTCACATTTGCAGGACCCCCTCATCAGACCAGCTCTGGAGCTAATCTCCCTTGAATTGTGCCCCTGTTAGAATAAATGCAGCATTTTGTATGGCTGCACCTGTTCTGACTACATATTGCTGTTAATAATCGTGAAAGTCTTTAGGATCTAGTGAATATCTAGAACATCAGTTGCTGAAGATCAGGGTTGTCAGCTTAAGGCTGAATATGTTCCAGTTGCTGTATGGATACAGAATAACTAAGCCTGATTAAAATAGCAGGCCTATTTGTTTTGGAGGTTGGAGGGTTTTTTATTTCAGGGTTGTTGGGTTTTTTTTCCGCCTTACTGGATGAAGGGAGAAGAGTAAATGACAAGGAACAGTTGGCAAATTCCCTGATAAATATTGATGCCTACGGAGGAGAAGCAGGAAAAGGAGCCAGTTTTTCTAACTGCAAGGAAATCTGGATATGAGATAGATAACATAAGAAGCAGTTATTTATTCCAGCAGCAGGCAATTCGGGGTGTGACTACAGAGTAGTTTAACCCAATCTAAATCTAGACTGCTGCAGTCCTGCCCACGGCTCATCTCATGTTCCCACTGCCTCATGTTGGTAGTAGTGCTCCAGCAGCCTTGCAGTGAGCTAGCTCCAGTTTTAATTTTGGGGTTGGTTTTTTAGTGGCTTTGTTGCTGCTTTTTTGAGGAAGTAGGGAGCTACTTTAGCATACTCAACTGTGTAACATAGAAATGCTAATACCGGTACAAGTAAGTGGCAAAAATACATGGCCAGAGATGGGGGAAGGCAGGAGTATCCTTTTCTGTGGCAGTGCAGGCTTACGTCACTGTTACATAACTGTGACTTCGTGTTCCAATTTCAAAGCCAATGCTGCCATTGAACACAGGAATTCTGTCTGCCTTTTGCTGGTGTTTTCTGCTCCTGTGCTGGCTTCCTTGTGTTAATGGGCCATTTGAAGTGGTCTGTGGAGCTGATCTACATTAAAACTAACAAAGAAAAAATACCTTTAGCTTTTTTTTTTAAGCTGGATTGGTTTGCTGATACAGTTTACAGTAGGGCTGCTTGTGCTAGAAGAAAGGGTGAGGCGGAAGCAGAAATTCGTTTCTAGGCTATGGGGGAATATAGGACCAATTCTTCCTATTACAGTTCTGTGTTAAAGTGTCACTAGTAATGACTTTTATTGCCCCTTTCTTACTGCATAGAGTCTGGATATTAGGGAGCTACCAGTAAATTAGCTACCATTCTCCTTATTTTTCTCTATCAAGGAGAAGATCAGGTGCAGTGCTACAATTCTGCCTCTTGGATTAATTACTTTTGGTACCAGCAATTCAGATAAGAGCAGAACTCTTTGTTAATACTCCCAGTCTCAATCTATTGGTAAGTAAAAGGCTAGAAGTTAGGCATTAGTTTTAAATACTATTTTTCAAATTAAGATTTTATTTTGCATTATTAAAATTAATGCCTTAATTTTCTATGAACTCTGAGTCATATGGAGCTGAACCCCATTCTCTTTTTTGGAAGCTCAACATAGTCTTTTAAATCCCATTGCTCTCATTTTTTGAAGTTACCCTTTATATGTACAGGACATTGCCATTTACTAGATAAATTGTTACAAGTGTCTCTGAAGAATTCCAGGAGAGTACAAAATCAACATCTGTGCAAACTCTCCAAGTTTTTAAAGAATGTGAGAGCACACTTTCAATCATGTTCAGCTGTAACAATAATTTTCTGCAGTTCAGTACCTGCCCTTGCAGTCAGCTGTAATATTCGATTTTATTCTTTGAACTACATAAACCAGTCCTTCATTTGAAACTGAAAAAAAGCCTACCCATTTATTTCAAGGTGTGCCCCAGGTATTAGAATGAATATTCGAGTTAATGGAGGGATACTCTTGGGGGGAGAAAGGGGTGGATGAGGTAAAAAAACAAGTGGGAAAAAAAAAAAAACCTTTCATATGAAACAATGTAGGTGTTTTACACAAAACTTATAAACTTGGATTTCAGTAATACTTGTTATGTCAAAGGATTCCCAAATGATTCCAAGGTTTTAAAGAATTCACTTTGCCAGTATTAAAGTACAGCCATGCCAGAATTGAGATACCATCGCTTTTGCAGTACACATACATCATTAAAATAGTTTGCAGGACAAAAAGGTGCAACATTCATACAGTAGTCTGTTGCACCTTCTAGGAAAGTTAAACCACGTTTCTGTATTCAGGCTCTATGATATGGAAGATATTCAAGAGGAAGAAAACATGAACAAAAGCTTCAAGATGCAATCCTTAGAATTTTGAACAGGGTCCAAGACAAGTTATCCTCATACCCTTCTTGCTTGGCTTGTCTTCTGACTGCACCACTTTCCTTAATACTATCTGTGGTTTATGCATAATCCCGGGAGATAGTGAGAGATGGATGCTAGTGGCAGTCCATTCTGTGTACCACACATGGTACTGTGAGGTAACCGTGCTCTAAATACCAGGAGAGGAGATGTGAATTACTGATTTATTTATTTTTTTCCTTAATGCCAGTACTTTGGAGTTGGGTTTTTTTGAGACTTCACTAACCTGTCCTCTACTGTACTTACTTTATGATAGATTTTGATCTTAAAATTCATGTCATATATTACTATAGAAGCAAAGGACCTGTGTTTGCAAAGTTCACTCTGTCTTGAAACTGAAGTCTGTGACATTTAATAGTGTTGTAGTCTTATGTGTCAAAGTTCATGAGCTCTAGTTTCAGGAATTGTTATTGAAATTGTTCACAAAGTGTAAAAAGTTGATAGTATTATGGGAAAAGGTCTGAGTCTTGCTAATTCTTTCTGGTTGGTATTATGGATCTTTAGATAAAAGATGTTTTAATTCACGTTGTTGTGTTGCTTCTGTTACCATTCTCAAATATAGCATAGAATAGGATAGGTCCATGTAACCTAATGTTATTGAGCTTTTATCTTTTTATTGCTTAATGCCAAAAGCTGAGTTTTGTTTTGTTTTTTAATGGTATCTGTTATTTCACAATTGAGTAAACGTTAGACTGTTGGAAATGTCATAAAATCAGGTAACTGGTGATCTGCACCAATTTTAAGTCTTGATCCTGAAACACTGTAACTACACATACATTTACACATTCTGTACATCCAGAATTTGATTCAGAGTTAATCTGGTTTTATTTGACTTTTGTTTAAACCCATCCCTGGACATAAAATTAAATGTTAAGGTGAGCAGAGCTATAGTTCAAACTGTTATGTGAGTTAATGCTCAAACATGCAGCACATATTACTTGAATTTTATATATTAATACAAGTCATAGTATATATGTTTTTAGTTACATACTTCTGTTTCCTAGCATTCTCTTTTTCTTTCTGATTTCTTTTCAGGTCTGTTAACTTGACCATCTTTTCAGTGATGAAACAACATTGGGAATTATGGATAAAAACATTGGAGAGCAGCTTAACAAAGCTTATGAAGCCTATCGACAAGCATGCATGGATAGGGACCATGCTGTGAAAGAACTACAGCAAAAAGTATGTGTTGGGTTCTGAACTGTATCTTTAAAGCCATCCTTCCCATGGAGGGTTGTGGTACATGCAGGTTTCAGTTTCACTTTAGCCACATGCAGTTTAGTGCATCTGTTAAAGCTGGAAATTGCTGTTATGAAACCAGGCCAGTACACTTCAGAGTAACTCATTAGGCTGTGAATGTAGTAGGTCGGTTTCAGGTTTTTGACCTTTAATTTTTTTGTAGTTTTAAAGCTGAGAAAAGTATTGTTTGTTTTGGAGGATTAAGTCTTTTAATGTAAACAGCAAAGATGTATATACAATTTACCCAGCTTTAATGAAGTAATTCTTGAAATTTAATTTGCTTTATTAAAAAAAAACTTTTTAAATTATTAATGTAAATAGCTTAAATGAAATTATTTTTGTGTTAATAGGAAGTTATGCCATATGAATTACTAGTTTACTTGATGTAAAGGTCAAAGATTCTAATATGTTAAGCATGTGCGAGCTATTAGGACAACAGAGTTTGTGTGTTGAAACATTTACAGCAAACTTACCTTAAAATTATTAGAATAAGTATTGATTTTTAAAAAATAATTATCTGTACAATTGTTCTTTAATTATGAAGTAACAGAAAGATTCTGGAGGCATTCTGACCAGTAAGGAGCACCTTTGAACTTTTACTTAGTCTGTTGTGGAATACGTTACTTAAGCCAATACTCTTCTAGGACCTCTTGTCATGTATTCCAGCATATTGTGAAGCAATCAGTTTTAGGCTTTGTCATACTAATTCTGTCATGCATATTCTGCCCAGCAATGGAACCTCTGTTATAGGAAGGCTTGAATGGTTTTGATGCTACAAGCCCTTCTGATACTTCTGTAGAACTGGTAGGCTGGGATTTGAAAGGTTCAAGGGCAGATGAACTATACTCAGTGTCAAGTTATGGAAGCAGTAGTAGAACTGGGAGCAGGGAAAGGTCTACTAGAAAATATTCTGATATCTGGGCACAATCTTGCCATGCCCTTGCATGGCAAAAAAAAGCCAAGGCACTGCACACCAGGTATCAAGTCAGTCATGTGCAATCATCCACTGTGCAGTCTGTCTCCATTCACAGTCTGCTGCAGCAGTGCTGGTGCAAATCTGTAGAGTTTTCTGTACATAATAAGCATGAGTAGCGTGTTGGTACATTTTGTGCTGAAACTGCAACTAACTTAACAAAAGGCAACACATTTTACAGTGTTTGAGAATCTTTTAAATTCTGTGTCTTATGATGAACAATTAATTATTTGAAGGAAGACCAGTCACATTAATACTTCTCGGTCATCTAATAGTACGTGAAAGAAACTTCTGCCTGAGAAACAAGACATCAGGTACAAGGTCAGATGGCCCTTCTAAAGTCTATGGAAGAAAACCAGAGAAGTGTGTGACATCATCAGTGTTAAGTGAACTAAATGCTTGCAAGATTTCTCTCTGCATTTTCTCAGGTTCAGAAATTAAAAATTAAAGCATTGCATAAAGGATTACTACCCATTCAAGTCTTTGTCCAAATCAAACTTTTAGTAGTTGGATTTCGTGACTTCAGAAGAGAGCAAAAGTATTTTTTCAAGAAGAGTTGATACTATAATTAGTTGGGGGGGATGTTTGTATTGTCTTTCAAGTTTTTTTACCAAACTCCAAGTTTTTTAATTACCTTTGTACAGTGCTTTACTCTAGTAGCTTCCTCTGTTCATTGTGTGGCCTTCACACGTTGTTGGATTGTCCACCATTCTGTTGTTAACAGTTTACTACTTAAGTTACCGATAGGCCACTTGTTTTGCCAGTCTCTAGAGCTGGGAGCCATGTCAAGCACACAGAAGCCAAAGTCATCTCGGCCAGATGGTGTTTGATACAGATGGATGGTTGGTTGTCATGCAGATCTTCTAGTTGGTAACTTGTTGCTGCCATCTGACTCAAGGAATAATTTGTGCACACTGGCTGTCAAAAGCATCTTCTCTTCTGTCTGTTTTAGCTGTCATGTCTGTGCTCTGTACAGAAGTGTTGACAAGACATTGCTGTTGTACATTTTCAATTTGGTTCTCAGTGATTTTTCTGCTTCATGAGGTCTCTTATAGCTGCTGGAGTGTACTGCTCTTTGATCACTTTTTTTTTCTTTTTTTTTTAATAAATTCTCATAGTACAACTACTACCTGGCCTTTAAAATAAATTTTGCTTGTAGATTTTTTTTTTCCTGCCTGCTTTACAGACAAACACACTGGGCAGTAGGGGGGTGTGGGATTTAAATGTGACTGAGATTTGAGAATTAGGTAGCAGTATGGGTAAACTATGAATAGACAAGAAAACAATGCCTAGTCTTGTTACAGGTCATGACCTTTTCAGTAACAGACATATCGTTAATTTCAGAAAAATACTGTGCATTCCTGTAAATTTCCTTGCTGACACTTCACGAGTTTTCTTGCTTGTTTTTAGCACTACCCTAACTGCAACATTAGGCATGTGCTAATGAACTAATAGTTTTTGAATACTACCATCCTCCTACCACCTGACCATTTGTTCAATTAACTGGCTGTCTAACAATATTTATACACTTTGGTGAAATGTGAGCAGTCTTATTAGGCTCTGTATGGCCTCTTTACAGCACGAGATGGAATATGGCTAGATGAAGAATGGGGCTGCTTCCTATATTTATGTCATTTATTTGTTAGAAAATATGGAGGAAGAAAATTACATCTTTCTATAGATAAACTAACTGGCCAGCATGCTGAAGAATACTAAAATTCTAATTTGGAACCTGATATGTTCTATGGCTATGAATGAAGAATCCTGTACTTAAAAGTACAGGATTTAAAATCCTGTACTTAAAAGTACTTGGCTTTACTATCCTGCCACAGTTGAAACAGTTACTGAAAATCAAAATTTATTTCCTATGCCTTTTCTAATCAGGGCAGACTCAAAAATATGGACTTGCCAAAGGTGACTGTAGTGGGGTTTTCACGCAGAGGTCCACAACTACAATTATCTTTTAAAATCAGAGCTGCTTTTTATATGCCAAATAGGAGACCCCTAGTCAAAACAAAATAAGATTAATGCTAATTAAATTATATTTGCAGACAGAAAGCTACATGCAGCAAATACGTGAACAGCAGGAAAAGATAGAGCTTCAAAACAGCATTATTGCAAAACTGAAATCGCAGTTAGCTGCTCTGAATGCTAATAGAGGTATGTACTCCAGTTTGCATGCTATTTCTTTTTATGCTGTGTTGCATTGATGAATAGTTCTGACTTTGTTGCTTCAGTTTTTACAAGATACATCTCAAAGCAGCATCATACTTTTCTGTGAATGTGAGAGTTAACACAAATTGGAGTTTCAAAATCTATTTATAAAATGCAACACTTCTGAGGTCTATCTTTATGCTCTTCAAGAAATGGTGAGATTTTCTTTAGATGTAGAACCTGCTCACACTGAAGCCAATAAAGGTTATGAAAATATGGGTTCAAATAACTCACTAAAATTAAAACCAAATTTGTTATATATCAATTTTACAATTATCTGTTAATAATATTTGTTAATAAGTTTAGGTCAGGTTGTTTTAGATGCAAGTGCTGTGTTATATGTCTTTTATGTTAGATGAGTCTTGTGATGCTAATCTTACTGGATAACCAAAGCTTTCTAAGCAGGTAATTCTCTTTCAAATCAAATAGTCATTGATGGATAATTTTCCACTGCTTGACTGTATTACGCAAATAAGAGAAAAGAGTCAAAGTAACCATGTGTTAATCTGCCATGCTCATTAAATATTTATTCACACTAGCCTAACACTCCTGGTTTTCATAAATAGTAGCAAAGTGGTTGGCTTTTATTTTTAAGAATACATGTACATTCTTTATTGCTGGTTTAGTTTTGCATGCTCTCTAAAGACAGAATTGGTCTTCTCTCGCTTGTTTCATATGAAGGCTTGCTCAAAGAAAATAAAGAAGTTAATATAAGCCTAGCTTCTTTTAATTTTGCTTGTACTGAGGAGCTGGCTGGGGAAAAATGCAGTGACAATCAGCCGCCTTTTTTTTTTTTTTTTGAAGGTAATGTGCATCCCTACATTCTGATGCATGAAGACATTGAAACCTCTAACTTATCTTTCAGCCAGCTCTCTGAAAAACTGAACATAGCAAAGCAAAGAGAAAAATTCTTAAAGGTATGGTCACCTGCAGTATGTTTAGCATAAGATCATATTTGTGCTGTGAGTATACCATGAGAACCTAAAGAGATAAGTGATATTTTCACTGGTGCCTTTCAACTGCACCTCTTCTACTAGAAGATCCTGACCTGAAGTGCATGAGTGTTGTGCCACTACGGTCTGCTTAGGTGAACTAAGCATCTGTCTTTGATTCTTCCCACTGCAATCGCTGTTTGGACACCCAACTCCCTAGAATAGTTTTGATCATACAGTAGGAACTTACTTGCTTATTTATTTCTTAACATGCCAAAAACATGGCTTGGTCAAGAAGGGGCTTTCTTTTTCTCTCACAAGAGCTTTTCACGTTGCAACCAGTCTGTATATTTTTGCAAGAAATGAAGAATCTGCACTCAAAAAGTGATGGAGTGGAAAGAGAACTGTCCATTGCTCTGGAGATGCTGATTATTTGTTTGGTTTTTTTAAATAGCCAATTTTAATATGATGTCTCTTCTTCCCCTCTTCACTGAAGTGACACTGAGATTTTTACTACAGCCTGTTGAGATTAACAGGAATAAGAGTAAAGCAATAGTGCAGAATAGATGGGAAATACCTTGAATGGATTTTGCATATTGAGCAAAGACAGTGACAGAGATGCACAAAGTTGCATTGTTCTTACCCAAAGTCATCCTACTGTGTTTTCTGGGAACTGTTTTATAACATAAAATCTCTTATTTTGGAATATGAATCGCCATAGCAGGGACTGTGTAAGGGTTGTAAAAAGACCCTTACATGAAATCAGGCATTGGATTTAAAAAAAAATAATTTCAGGATTTGTTTCCTAAGCCTGAGCTATAAACAAATTAATTATGCTAAATTCACAGAAATGCATTTTTTAACAGAAATTTTGATTTAAGAATAATTTGGATTACTGATGCTTTCCTAATTATCTTGAAGGAATCTCGTTTGAGACTAAGCCTTTGCCAACATTTTACACGTAGTGTTACCAAACATTTACGTACACTTCTTTTTTATTTAAAAGAAGTCTTTATATAATTTTTCTACACTAGAATCTGTAATCACAAGATGTCATTTCTTTCCTAATCTTTACATTTATTTGGAGTACAACGCAGCTGAAGGGTCAATTCTTTGATGGAACATCTTTGCGTATTTTTGCATTTCTCTGCCTTGAGTTGGATAAAAATTATGTCTTACAGTTGCACATGGAGATCTGACCAAGTCTAATGTTTCATACTCTTGTTTCTGAATGCTTGCTCAAGAGCAATAGTTTTATGTAACTTAGTCACATAATAAGTAGGAGAAAGGAAGCTGTGTTATCTGCTCTTCTCATGGGGAAAGACTGAGAAATTATGTGATCTATACAGAAGATTACAAGCAGCGTATGAGAAGCTGGAATAATTATTTCAGGGGCTATTTTCTTAATGGAATGTGAGTTATTTGTCTTTATCTGCATTTTTTTGTGTAGTCAGTTATTGCAGTTACCTCTCAGCCAATAGGTAGTTCATCTGGATTTTGCTTTATCTGTGCCATGAACAGAAATATTTCTGATATAACTCCATGCAGAATCGAGTATACAGGCTCTCTGCATTTCAACCCAGGCACAGTGCTATACAAATAAGGTCTTTTCAGAGGGGATGAGTAGAGATCTAAACCCATGCAAAGTCAAGTTGACCCAGCCTACTCTATGTTCCTGTTATTGGGAATGTAGTAGCTCTCAAGTATTGAGAGCATGGAGCTTGAGGAAAACATGTTTGACTGGACCGAGGCTGGCTTCTGCAGGGGCACGTGGGCGTCTTTGCACCATCCTTCTGATATAAGGAGGACCCTAATGTGTGGTGTTGTGCCTAGTAAGCTTCCACCAACGTGGCAAAAGTGATACAAAGATGTCCAGATAGCACAGCAGAGGTACACACACTTCTATTAGCTCTGGCTGTGTCTTGGCCATGCCACTCGTGGGCTGGCTATGAGTGGAGATACACAGTACTTTATTGAACAAACTCCAAGGAGGAGAACCATATAACCCCAACTTTTTGTTGAAAATAATGGAAAATTAATTGCATTGTGATAAATGCTTTATCTGCTTTCATGGCAGCTGTCAATTTTTGCACTTTTTAAATACAGAACTTTTGTTGTATGATAGATAAAAAGGTAGACTGCTGGAACGAATGTATGGAACAAGCTGGGGAAAATAAATAGTAGCAAACCACCAGGACCATATCAAGTTAACCTAAGAGTTCCCACTACTCTTGTGCCATGTTAAAAAAAAAAAAAAAAAAAAAAAAAAGGCAAAAGGAGCTGATTCTGTTGACTACAGGATATGTGGTCAACCAGTGGAACTTCCTGCTTCAAGGGAAAATTGGACAACTTCATGGAGGAGAAATCTGTTGAGGGTTAATAAATCATAGAAACTATTACTAAGAAGATCTGGGAATGTATTAAAGAATGTGTCATGAATGCCTCCTGTTTTCTTGAACTGTTCCCTAGACATCATATTTTTACATCTGTTAGACCAAAAATCCATCATCCTGTCACTGACCCAGTATAGTTGTCTTGTATCTAGTTCAATAAAGTATTGACTCTTTCAGCTGTTGAAATTTGGGAGCTTGAATATTGTATTTGAGAGCCTGTATTTTTCTAATCATATTCCATCCATGTTCTGCTCTAAATCAAATAAATTATGTCTACAGCCATTGCCCTCTACTGCATTAACTGCTTTATTCTACTTCTCCACCAAAAATTTCAGGCTTGCAAAATGTACTGTTCCAGATAATAAATTATGGTTCCAGTCTTTAAGTTAAAATTTTGCAGTTTCTTCCTGTCCTTTCTTGAAACTCCTTGAGTCTCTCCCGTGGCTGGAGGTGCCTGGATTTATCAATACCTATTGAAACTGTCTTTTGCTAAATCCAGTGGGATTTCTCAGTGGACTGTATTCTGTCCTCCAGTAAAGTTAACAGAAGTCCTGGACTGTGAGGGTGGTCAGACACTGGAACAGGTTGCCCAAGGAAGTTGTAGATGCCCCCTCCCGGGAAGTGTTTAAGGCCAGGCTGGATGAGGCTTTGAGCAACCTCGTCTAGTGAAAGATGTCCCTGCTGATGGCAGGGGGGTTGGAACTAGATGATCTTTAAGGTCCCTTCCAACCCAAACCATTCTATAATTGATTGTAAAAGGTGCATGGTTAGAGCTTAAATTTCAGAGGTTTAAGATGAGGGAGGGAGGAGTCAGCTTTTCTGCGTTTTCTAGCAGGCGGCCATACTTGTGTCTTACCTGCTGTTGTCAAATACTATTGCTGGTGTGTCATAAAATGTTTTGGGGCTTTTTTTGTTCACATTCATCTTCGCTGAAAGAGGTGAGTGGACCAGATTGGCTTGGTAGTCAGTACCAAACTATATACAAGATTATCAGATTTTTTCAGTTCCCTGCGTCAGGAGACCAAAGGGACCATTGCTGTCTGTTTTGGAGTACAGCCTGGCTGAGCTTTATTAACAAGGAAGAATGTGGATCTCGTCACTGTTTCAGAGACAAAGCTGCCCAGCAAACAGAAAACCTTAGTAAGCGAGATGACACAATGTCAAGTAAAGCTTCTTCTGCATGCCATTTTTAGTAGAGTCAGACATCAGAATCCTTATAAACTCCATGAAACATGAAGCTAAAGTCAATACTTGTGACAAGAAACATGCTCACGGTCATATTTTCCTGGATCAAGAACCTCGGTACTAAACACTGTGTGGAGTTTGTTGATCAGAATTTCTTGTGGCATGAAAAAGAGGAGGAAACTCTATGTCATGAATGAATGATGCATATGGTATACAAAACTGTTCATCCTGCAATAGATGTTTAGGTCTTTTTGTGCAGGACATAATCAGAACAATGGCAGATGTATGGTAGTCATCTTTGTGCTCGAAATTATGGTGCTAAAATTACTTACATGACTAAGAGCAGCTACTGCAGTGGTGTTGTAGAGTTGCCTGTTCCAGTGAATACTGACTTCTCTAGTGTCACTTTGTTTCCTGTCCTTGATGCAAAGAAAGCTGGACTTCATGATTTTATGCTGACAGTTTTATGCATGTAGCTGTTTTTTGCTGATGGTATGATGTATGCAGTAGGACTAGTTAGGCCCTGCTACCTGCTACAAGAAATTCTGGTATCGATAGCCTTTTTTCTTATTGCTTCATCTGTTTAAGCTATCTCTACCCAATAATAAAGAAGAGTTTGTGGTTAAACTGTTAGAAGTTACAGTTAATATTCCCTAAGTCAGCTGAATAGTATTTTTCCTTGAAACCATCTGACAGTTTGTTTATTCTAGGAAGCCACTGAAACAGGCCATTATAGCACACTTCAGGAGCACAGGTAGCATACCCAGGGAAGCAAGTATCTCCCTCTATTCAGCATTCATTGGGCTGCATCTAGAATGGGGATCTCCAGTACAGGAAAGACGTTGCTAGAGTGAGTTCAGCAGAGGCCCCACTGGGATAGCTGGGTACTTGAGTACATACCCCATGAGAAGAAGCTGGACTTATCCAGCCTGGAGAAGAGATGGCTTCAGGGGAAGCTAATAGCTTTCCAGTGCCTACATTAACATTATCAGGCAGATGGAGCCAGGCTCTTAACAGTGGTGCATGGCAAGAGGATGAAAGACAATGAGCAGTTGAAACATGAAAGGTTCAGACTGGACATAAGGGAAAACTTTTCAACACGAGGACATTCAGGCATTGGAAAAGGTTGCCTGGAGAGGCTGTGCAGTCTCCATCCTTGGGGAATTCAAGACCAAATTGAAGCTGCATCCCACTGGCTTTTTAAGTGGGAAATGGAATTTGACCATGGAATGGTCAGACTGGACATAAGGAAGACATTTTTTATGATGACGGTGGTGAAACACTGGAACAGATTGCCCAGAGAGATGGTAGATGCCCCATCCATGGAAACAGTCAAGGTCAGGTTGGACAGAGCTCTAAGCAACCCAATCTGGTTGAAGATGTCCCTGGTCATTGCAGGGGGGGTTGGACTTGATGATCTTTAAAGGTCCCTTCCAACCCAAACTGTTCTATGATTCTAATGTTTGGGATCCCTGTGACCACATAATGGCTCAGTGGTAGCTTGTGGCCTAGAACATCACTGCCTTCCCATTCCTGGAATGGCAAAAAGCAGTTCCCCATACTATAGCTACTGTGACTTTGTAGTCTTTAAAGAATATGCAAAAGGTATATAGTTATAAAATTATGTTCAGCATCTGGCCCTGCTATAACTTTCTTCAAAGTATTTTCAGATCTGTTAAGAATACTTTAATGCATGTCTCCATTTCCTCTTAACACAAATTGTTATTTTTTCCCCACATCACTAGATACGATTTCTTTTCTCATTCATCAGACACTTCCTTAACTTATTTTGAACTTTCTGTGCTTCATAGTACTGTAATTCTTCCCAATGTTCTTGTGCCATTTGAGAAAATGAAATATAGGTGCTGTAGCATCAGTTATAGAAGATGATGTATGGGTTCTTTAGCCTAAAATCTTAGTCTTGTTTGTTTGTTTCCAGAACTATATAAAAAAAAATCTCATTTTTTTCTCTTTTGCTGTTTGGTCTTTTTATTTTTATTTTTTTTTATCTGCTTCCCTGGACTCTTATCTACCATGATGTATAGAGATTCCATACTCTAAGAGTCTAGAAAGTATTTCAAGATCTCTCTTAGGACTATGCATACATTCCCCACACTACCTACCAGAAATGCAAAGCATAGAAGAAGGGTTAGGATTAAGGACTTTTGCTGGGATAGAAACATCCCATTTTTAGACAATGTTTTGAACCCACTGAGCAGAAGAGGCTTAGTCTGGATCTCTGAGATACCACCCAAGTCTGGAGTTGCTTTGGAGCTCTTACCATAGGCTTACTATTCAAAGTCACAATTTAAACTAAAGAAAAAAATCAATGCCTTCAAAGCTGTTTTTCTGTGGGGTTTTTTTCCAGCTAGTATAACTTTTTGAGGCTAAGCTGTTGTGTCAACTGCATATACGCACATCCATGCTTAACCACCCAGTGTCTCTGTAGACTGGCTCTGGACCAATCCCTACATGGCAATCATTCTCTAGCAGAGTAGCCCCTACCTACCTAATCTACAAATGCACAACCTCACCCTATTTAAGTCACATTTGTAAACAAAACAAATGTTCTTGAAAAAGCACTTACTTGCTTCTTTCCTCTTCACCTTGCCCTACCCATCTACAGACTCTCTCACTGCATTTCACTTACATTACTTCTTGCAGAGTTAACCCTTCGGGCTTACTTCTCTTGCTGAGACAGACGTGGCACTTTTTGGAACACTTGATACAGTTCAAGATCAGTGTTTCTATAGATTTCATAAACTGACAACTACAAGGTTTTCATAGCCACAGTTTTTAACTATAGGTTGTTTCTTGAAAATTATCCAAGGACTGTCTTTTTGCATATTAAAAAAAATGTTTCTTACATTCTTCTTCATTCCACCAAAAAGTCCACATACATAAAAATTCCATTAATTACTGGACGGATAGTTAAAGTGAGGCCAGCCACTGCTTTTTATTTCACAAATATTTACAGCATTGCAATATTTGCAATGTAATCCAAATTATACATACAAATTGGGGGACAAGAGGCTGGAGCGCAGCCCTGCAGAAAGAGATATGGGGGTTTGGGTTGATGTCAAGATGAATATGAGCCAACAGTGTGCCCTGGCAGCCAAAAGGGCCAACCATGTCCTGGGGTGCATCAAGCCCAGCATAGCTAGCAGGTCGAGGGAGATGATTGTCCCACTCCGCGCTGCATTGGTGCAGCCCCACCTTCAGCACTGTGTGCAGTTCTGGGCACCTCAATATAAGAAGGTCATCAGACTATTAGAGTGTGTCCAGAGGAGGGCAACCAAGATGGTGAAAGGCTTCAAGGGCAAGACTTATGAGGAGTGGCTGAGATCGCTTGGTTTGTTCAGCTTGGAGAAGAGAAGGCTGAGGGGTGATGTCATCACAGTCTACAACTTGCCCTCAAGGTGGGCAAAGGAGGGGGTGGTGCTGATCTCCTCTCTCTGGTGACCAGTGATAGGACATGAGGAAATTGAGTGATGCTGCATCAGGGGAAGTTCAGATTGGACATTATGAAAAGGTTCTTCATGGAGAGGGTGGTCAGTCACTGGAACAGGATCCCTAGGGTAGTGGTCACAGCACCAAGCCTCTCAGAGTTCAAGGAGCATCTGGATGATGCTCTTGGTGATATGGTGTAGTTTTAGGTAGTCCTATGAGGAGTAGAGAGTCAGACTTGATGATGGGTCCCTTCCAACTTGAGGTATTGTATGTTTCTGTGTTTCTCTGATTCTAAGATTCTATGATTCTATTCTTGGGTCTGCTTGAAAATTAAGGTAGCTGCAGAATATCACCTTCAAAATTGTTTAACATTTAAATTAATGAAATATTATTTTATATATTGTACATACAATATACTGTACATAAAATGTTAATGTAAATTATATAGTAAATGAAGCAAGAGAGGATCTTTATTTTTTATAAACACTAATATGGCTTTCATAAATTCAGAACATACAGTTGTTTTGAGTAATCATCTATCATGAGACCTTTTACCACTACATACACTACGTCTGTGTATAGTGGTAGAAGGTCTTTGCTCCCTGTTTAAAATTAATAATGTAATAAATAAATAAGACTGATCCTTACTTATGTTGCAAAATCTTAATTTAGTTTATTCCAGACTGCTGAATAGTGATATTCCACAAGCCTTCATTCTATTAATTGTATCGGTGTTTCTAAAATTATTTTTTAGGAACAGTTAGAAAGTGAGAGCATGAGATTGAAGCAACTTGAGGACAAAAGCAATCAAAAGGAAAAGAAGCTCATATCTATTATTTCCAACCAAGAAGATAAAATAAGAACTCTGAAAAGCAAATTGAAAGAATTAAATGACGCACAAAAGGGTATACAGATGCCAGCATATAAAAGGGAGGTAAGATAAGCAACCAAGGAGAGATAAAATAAAAACAGAAAATTTGTAAATTATTACTTCTTTCAAATCCGTTTATACTAATTATTCTAAGAAACTGATTTTAAATTTCAGCATTAAATAATTACTAGTAAGTCATTAAAGTGTATAAAGCATAGAGGGAATGCC